AGGATGCTTGCTTCCTGCCCCACATTACAGTATAGAATCCAATCGCTATTATTGTTGCACCGATGATGCTGCAAAATGGTACACGGAAAATAGAAAATGAGTTATTTTGTTTTTAGGTGTGTGGTGGGGGAATAGGTGTACCTTCCTAGATAAAGAGTATCGCCAAGGATGACGACTCCCATGGCAGTTGCAATGGCAATGGACAATGGACAATGGCTTGAACATAGCCACATAGACAGGTCCCTTTAAGTGCAAGGCCCATGTATGAATAACATTGTTCAAGCCGGAGCCAAAAACACCATGTATATTTTTATTTCTTTTCAAACTTCAGAATCTGGTGGGAATTAAGGAAAAAAAACAACTATTTTCATCACTTACAATGCATAGAATAGAGGCCAACGAGATGTTGGGTCTTATTATCCACTTGCTAGAGTCTAGTTCAGCAATGAGACCTACAAATGCAGATAGGATGCTCATAAATAAATTGTAGAAGAACATCAATGTCAGTTCTGTCGGGTACTCTTTCATGATATGAGTCATTGAATAAAACACCAAGTCAAGTCCAAGTTTTATTTATTTTACTCAAGATATTAATAAAAAGAACTATAGGAAAGGAAACATAAAAAATAAATGAAAAAAATATGGTCATACTTGAATAAGACAACACCGATGACACTAAGATGCTTATAACATAATTGATCAGGTCTAACATCGATCCTGGTTGAGTGGAGGTCATTAACATCACCTAGTTTAATTGAGAATTCACACTAGTTAGTGAGTTTTAACTTCGATACATAAAACACAGACAATTTGACATTAATGTTGCCATTTAAAAAACAAGAATAATTTAGATAACTTAGTTGGAACAAATGACACTTTAGTCTTCTTCTTTACTCTCCACACTACAAGAAAAATGAGCTTTTACAACACTTAAAAGGCAACATTCATTCTTAAATGTTGCTAAATGGGGTCTATTGCAACGTTTGAGCGAGTGAATGTTGCTAAATGGCTCTATGACAACGTTTTTTTAATGAATGTTACAAAAAGTGACTTTTCGCAACGTTCATTGAATGTTACTTAAAGTCTTACTTTTTGAAACGTTTTTTTATCGTTACGAAAAGTCTCACTTTTTGCAACGTTTTTTAAACGCTGCTAAATGTTAACTTTTCGATTTAATAAACGTTGCGAAAAGGAAAGCCCATTATTTAGCCGCCCTAGTCTCATTACCGCCCCTCACCACTCTTTTCTCACTCTTTCATTCAAATCCATCATTTTCTTCCACTACCACAGAGGCAGTCGCTGACGATAGAGGCATCCACATGTTGTGGGGAGTTGGGCGGCGAGGAAGAGCTGGAATGAGAACTGAGTGTCGCTCTCGGCAATGATTATTGTGCTGTAAGGAATACCTCCGCGAAGGAGGCGATCGGGAAGGGGGCAATTAAGGGTGAAACTTCCAATTACTCATATTTCCTCTTCCCTAAATCCAATTCAAAGTCCGTAAGTACAACCCCATCTTTTTCTTCCACATTGACGTTACCCAGGAAATCGTTGGTGAAAGTACAAAATCGCTACTTGCTAGCGCATCTCTGACTCGAGCTCTCCTGTTAATATCACCGGCAGATTCTGGAGTTTTCACTGGCCGCCGACACATACCTATTCTTGGAGAGAAAAACCAATTTCCATGTAAGTTTTTCTCTTTTCTATTTATTCTACCTTCTTCTATTTAAGCATTTCATCTGCTATATTAATGAGCAATTTCACATTGCTAGGACTGGGGTCTATGTCCACATTTGCCCCCACAGCGGCCAAAACTTTCTTTGCTCAGTGTAGTTCAACCTCATTTGTTTGCACAAGTAAAGAACAGAGAAGGAAGAAACCCCCTTTTTCTTTCCTTCTTCAAGTTCATTTTTGTGTACAATATTAGAATAAGAAAGCTGTTTTATATGTGTAATGGTTGAAATTTCATTGATCATCAATTCATGGTTTGAGATGCCTCTGTGGGTCTCAAGTGAGAATGTAATCTCAGCACTTGTAGAGTAAAAATTGAAGTTCTGAGCAGCACCTGTTTTTCTGGCTAAGACCGAATTAGTGCATTGTATTTTTATTATTTTTTACTGGGTTACAAGATGATGGAAGACTCCGCTTCCTATGCAATTTTCTTGGAGCCCCAATTATGGTGTTTTTTTAATTAAAAAGAGCTGCTCTGGTAGTTTGAGAAGTTTCTTTATTATCTTTTAAATTCACCTGTGTTTCCTTAGTAAATGTTTCCCTGTCTTGTGCATTATTTTCCTTGTGCAACGCAGAGGAAGTCACAGAAAAAGCAAAAAAAATTTCAGTGGTAAGAATTGTCTTCTGATGGATAATGTTTTAGTTCTAGAGCGAGCTATTAGAAATTATTTTGCATGTTGAAAAAGGTTTTTTGAAAATCAGAATTTGTTTGGGTTGTTCAACTGAATTTTACTTTGTCCCCTTATGAAAATGTTATTGTGTGGTCGCAAGAAGACAAGGAGAAACTCGAGAACCAATTGCATGACATGGCAGTAGCTATTGAGGGATTAGAAAGTAGCAGGCAAAAACTAATGATAGAGGTACATTTTTTCCACTTTAACCTCGTGTAGCATCAAGAACCAAAATTCATCTTTTCTGTTGTCATTTACAGATTGATTCTCATTCTTCAGAAATAGAGAGGCTTTTTGAGGAGAATTCTAGTCTCTCAAATGCTTATCAGGACTCAATAGGATTAATGGCTCACTGGGAGAATCAGGTACTTGGTTACCACTTGCAAGTTTCTTAATGAAGGGATGTTTTATTGTCTTTGTTCATTACTCTCTATGAGAACTCTCAAAACTGTTTCCTTTTTAACTTTAGGTATCTTTTTAAGTCTTAAACTGAATTTTCTTCTATCATGAATGAAAGGGAAGCCCCCACCTTTAGATTTTATACTTTCTAAGTGGCATTTCACTTTTTCTGTCTTTGCACCTTGTTGCAATAAGATTTGTACTCATCATATGTTTCATTTGTTGCCAATGTGTAGCTCTTTGTTTTTTTGGCTAAATTTGGTTGATTGGCTTAAAAGCTATATGATTAGCCTCCAGTTGAGATTGCGTTACCAATCTTTAATTATCATGTAAAATTTAAAGTGTCTTTTCGAGATCACTGCCTCTTTCTTCTATGTAGTTTGCATAGCATTTGTTTTATGCAAGTGAAGGATTGTCTGAAGCAAAATGAGGAACTACATGGTATGTTAGATAAGTTGTGTGCAGAACAAACCAGTTTACCAACTCTGAATGATAAGTTGCATTCTATGATGTATCTATGATGTTCCTTTTCTTGCATTATGATGCAGGCACATAATGTTCTGCTTGGGAGATTAAAGTAGCTCCAAATCAGAATTCATTGTGGGGTGCTGCCACAGCTGATGAG